GGAAAATCCAGGATGCAGGAGAAGAGAGTAAAAAACTTGGGAAGGGTTGGAGAAGATCCGGAGAACGAGCAGAAATGGGTAGACGCTTGTCCTCTGTCTCTTCTTCAGCCATTAAGTGGAGGGAAGGGGTTTTAAGAGCAGTGACAGGAGGACACCCTCCCCAAAAGGACAGGCCAGAGAAAGAGGCCCCCTCTCCCTCCATCCGGCTGGACCACCCTCTTTCGGAGCTGCCCTCCAGATTTTACGAAGCCGAAAGGCGGAAGAGAGAGACGCCACTTTCTCCTTCTAAACTTTGCCTTCGGTTCCTGCTGCTTCTTTCTTTTTTCCTTTCCCTTCCCAGGTTACATAACCGGGCCACTGCCCGCAGGCGCACTGCCCGGGAACGTAATATTTGCACAGGTGGGTGGCAAGTTCCTCCTGCCTCTGAAACAGGCGCGTCCTGTAGCGTCAGCCATCCAAACAGTGGAGCCACTCATCGGCCTTAGATGGAATTCTTCCCTTTCCTGCTTTTTGTATGTGTGGCTACACAATAAGGCTACAGGAGACTCGTGGGGGCATAGTGTGCTGTAGTGGACAGCGTGGTAGACCCGGAAGGTCTGGGTTCAAATCCTCTCTGAGTCGCAGAAACTTGAGGGAGAAGTGGAACTCGTAAAAACACTCCTTAAAATATCTTGCTTATTTTGAAATCCCTCTTTGTTGTTATTTATTCGTTAAGTCATGTCCAGCTCTTCATGATCCCATGGACCAGAGCACACCAGGCCCTCCTGTCTTCCACTGCCTCCCAAAGTTTGGTCAAAGTCCTGTTGGTCGCTTCAGTGACACTGTCCAACCACCTCGTCCTCTGTCGTCCCCTTCTCCTCCTGCCTTCACCACCTTATTAGGTGGCTGGGCTTGAACATCCCTGATTTCCTCCCTCTCCTCCCCAGGGCAGGCCTCCGCAAGGGATGATGGCTGGGCCGGACATGCCATGCTCCCCCGACAGCCGAAACATCAGCCCGAGTTCTACGGTTTTGAATCTCAGCGACACCGACCTCGGAGCGGAGGATGAAGAGAAAATCTGTGCCGTGTGCGGAGACCGGGCCACCGGCTACCACTTCCACGCCATGACCTGTGAAGGCTGCAAGGGCTTCTTCCGGTAGCCCTTGAACACTTCCCTCGCTGAACGTCCTCTACGGGCTTCATGTTGGGGTTTGGTGGGGTGGGATCGGATTGGAGATCCCCAAGTGATTTTCCGTTGCAGGGCCACATCTGGACACCTAGGCGATGATCTCTCACGTTTTGTCTCTGTGTCTCCCAGGCGGACCGTCCTGAAGGGCACCCAGTTCACCTGCCCTTTCGCCCGCAGCTGCACCATCACCAAAGCCAAACGCCGGCAGTGCCAGGCCTGTCGGTACCAAAAATGCCTGGCCGTGGGCATGAAGAAAGACAGTAAGACACGGCGGTGATAAGAATCCATCTATCCAGTCCAAATATAAAGCAGGATGCCGAGAGGGGCCAGGAATCCGTTTCACAGAGATGATTAGTCCTTGATGGTATTTTGGGACCAAAAGGCCAAACAATTAACTTTTCCAATCTCTCGTTCTCAAGAAGAACAGCTCTATCAGTTTCTAATCTTGGTTTTTCTCTTTCTGAAATCAAATGAGTTGAGGGGTGTTTTTGCGTACAGCAGGACCCTCTTATCCGCGGGATCCATACCTGCTGACTCAGTTATCCATGGTCTGAAAAATATTAATATTTTTAAAAAATAAATCCCCAAAATATAAATTTTAAACTACGAATTTTCCAGAACTGAAACCATGCTATGCATAGCATTCACGATTAATATAGCATTCACTATAATCCGCATGTTTCAGCATCCACAAGGGCCCTTAGAACTATTCCCCCCACGGATACTGGGGTGCTACTGTCCTTCCCCCCCCCACATTGAGCTTTAATACGTAGAAAGGAAACGGAATTCAAGTTGTTTTTTGCCTCAGGCATCAAAATATCTTGGTCAGCTTTCAGGTCAACGGGCCGCAAAGCCTCTTCTCCATAAACCTTGTTTTTTCGTTTCCAGTGATCATGTCCAAGGAGGCGCTGCGCATGCGCCGGGAGCTGCGCCGTCAAAAGCAGCACCGAGAGCCGAGCCCTGCGGGGGACTTGCCCAAACCTGGCAGCCTCACGGCGGATCAGCAAGAATTGATCGAGATCCTCTCCAGAGCGTACAAGAAAAACGTGGACTCCAGCTTCTCCCCGTTGACGTCTTACCAAGTGAGCTGGTCTTTGTTTTCTCCCACGACTTTTTATCTCTTGGCATTGGCTAGGAAGAGGAAGGGCAGGGGAGGGAATCCGTTCCACCTTTTAGTCCGAACTTTAAAAGAGCGATCAGTGGTGCTGAAGCCCATGTAAGAGCCATCATTTGCAAATCTCACCCTCCCCTTCTCCAGAGATCCCAGGAGGGCCACAACTCAAAGAATTACTTAGTAAGCATCTGTTATGTGCCTTCAAGCTGCATCTGAGTTATAACTCTTTAACAGGGTCACCAAAGTACGTCAGATATTTAAAGAGGTTTTTTTTTAACCAGTCTCACCCTCTGATGGGTTTCGACGGCAGACTGGGGATTTGAACCCTGATCTCCTGAATCTTTGCCCATCATATGGTGGAGTCACAGAAGAGGGCCTTCTCGGTGGCTGCTCCCAGACTCTGGAACTCCCTGCCACTGGAGGCTGGGCTGGCCCCATCTTGGCTATCCTTCCTCAAGCCGGCCAAGACGTTTTCTCTTCAGGCAAGCTTTCCCTGCGTGACTGGGCGATCCTTCCAAGCCGGCCAAGACGTTTTCTCTTCAGGCAAGCTTTCCCTGCATGACTGGGCAGCCTGAGTGAGGTTTTAAAAAACGGATGGTTCAGCCTTTCTCCTTTTTTACTGTGTTTTTCGTATTTACGCGGCCTGAGTGAGGTTTTAAAAAACAGATGGTTCAGCCTTACTCCTTTTTTACTGTGTTTTTCGTATTTACTGTTTCTCAGAGTGGTACGTGTTTGTTTTAAATATTTGTAAACTTCTCCTTTTGAAGTTTAAATACGGTCTTCCAATGCCAGGGGCTTGTTTTAAAGAGAAAGACAGGGTAAACCTATTTTAAATCAGCAGATAAATACAGTGGGGTCTTGACTTAAGAACGGCTTGAGTTCAGAACATTTTGACTTAAGAACCACTCTCATAGGAAAATATTGATTTGACTTAAGTACTTAGATTTGAGCTAAGAACTAAAAAAAAACCACGTGGGAGGCAGGGAAAGTGCAAAATGTGAACTTTCAGTTAACTGTTGGCCAGTGAAAAGGGGGCCTGTCTGCTTCCTCACTCCTCCCAGCGTTTAGAGAATGGATTGGGAGTCTTCAGACTGCCTGGTACTGCCTGGACTGTATTTTCCCTGCCTTCCCTGAACCTTTCTTGACCTAAGAAAAAAAGAAACAAAATATCTCCCGCCAGTGGTCGAAGGCGGAATAGCAGCTTCCCGTTAGTTTCTATGGACGGAAAAGAGCAGATACGGATCAAATGGTTTTCAATGCATTCCTATGGGAAATGCAGATTTGACCTGAGAACATTTTGACTTGAGAACTGCCTTCCAATACGGATTAAGTTCTCAAGTCAAGACCCCACTGTAAAGGAAAACAATACGCCCCTGAAATACTCTTAGAACAACGCAAGGCAGTCAGGGTGGGAATCTCAGCCTCTTGGCCCAAGGGAACAGGGACCCAATTCCCTTAACCTGCCTTTCCCTCCTCCAGCCCCAGGAACCCCAGAGTCCACAATCCATGGCCCCCCGGGATGTCACCTCTTCCCCCCTCCCTTCTCAAGATCCGACGGACGGCTACCCGGAGGAAGTCCTGCCCGATGTTTTCTCCGTGTTGCCGCTGTTTGCCGATCTCACCTTCATGATCCAGCAAGTGGTTCAGTTTGCGAAGGCCGTCCCATTTTTTCGGTGAGTCCGGGTGCGAGGCAGTGCCCGCCGCTTAGCTTCCACCTCTGGTCCTCCCCAGGGCTTCTCTCAGCCTTTGACATGATCTTTCCTAGACAGGGCAGGTCGTACTGCTTCTGAGGATCAATGCAAATTTTGGGCCGGCCGAGGGTCAAACCACGACCTTACAGATAAACCCTCCTTAGAAAAGGGCTTACCTCAAGGGCTGGAATGTTTGATTGTCACAGCAGGAGCTTGCTTCATTTTGGAACAAGTCTCTTTAGGACCTAAACAGTCTTGCTTGTAGGTCTGATTTATGTATGTAGAATCTTAAAAGAGCTGCAGTGCAGGAAGGGATCCTATAGATCATCCGGTTCAGCTACTGTCAAGGAGGCCCAGCGGGGAATCAAACACTTCTGGCTTCGCAGCCAGACACCTAAACCACCAAGCTATCCAAGAGTTATCTCTGCGTGTGTGTGCTATCAAGTTGATTCCAACTTATGGCGAGCTATCCAACAATTATCTCTGCATGTGTGTGCCATCAAGTTGATTCCAGGTAGACAAAACACTGAAGTGCTTTACCCTTCCCTTCCTCCTTTACAGGAGTTTCCAGGTTAAACAGAACACTGAAGTGCTTTACCCTTCCCTTCCTCTGGGGGCGCTGTGGGATTGTACAGCTTGCCCAAGGCCACCCAGGCTGGCTTTTCTTCCACCCTGGGGGGAATCGAACTCCCAACCTCTGGCTCTGCAGGCAGAGATCTAAACCACTGAGCGATCCAGCCAGAACATAGTAATGTACAGAAGACAAAATTGTGTGGGGCTTTAGGTTGTTGCTACTTAAGTTTTCACCACTGAAGTTTTTAATTGTTTAATGGCTGGATTTTGTGTATACATAATAGTTCATGCTGCGGTATAAACTGTTCTGGGGGGTCTTCAGACAGAAGCAAATGAAGTAAATGACAATAAAGGATAAATGAATTGAGGGAACTCACCAAAAGACAAGATGCATTGTTTTGAGCTGGTTCGGAGCCCTGATCCGTCTTTTCTTGTCTCCCGACCCACCCGCCAGAGCCTTACCAGTGGAAGATCAGATTTCTCTCCTGAAAGGGTCTGCCATTGAGATCTGTGGGATCCAGTTAAACATGGCCTTCGATCTGGAAAACAATGTGTGGGTCTGTGGCCCCCACTGCTATTCGGTCAAACATGGCACGCGGGGTAAGTGGCAGGAAGCACAAGACCCACTAGCTAGACTTTGGAAAAGCGACATCTTGAATACCACTCTCAGAAAACTCTCAGCTAGCATGGATTCTGGGAGCTGTAGTATTGGAGGGGGGGGGAAGTAACTTTTCCAAGCTCTTCTCACAGCCTCTTCACCCCAGTGGGCCAGATGCAGGACACAGAGCTTAGGGATATTTCTCAGCATCTCGAAGGAAGTCGTTGTAAACCAGTAGCTAATTGCCATCTACCCTGTAAAGATTTCCAATTTTCCATAAGCATCCAATCCTTTTAGGAATCATAATTGAAAAGAAAATTTCTGCCACCTCCTAGTTTTACTTGGCACAAGCTTGGATGGGTGTTGGCTCATTTTGTCCAGCCCATCCATAAAAGTTTATATTCCACGAAAGCTGTTTGTCTTTAGGGTCCTAGAAAACTCTGTTGCTACAGAAGTCGTCACAATGATTCGGGGGGAGGATGGAGCCTGGATTCAAAGGAGGAGTCCAATCCAGGGGTCCCAAAAGGTGTAACCTGTGGGTGATTTGTGTTGCATCAAGGTGCCCTCCCTGTGGTCAAAAAGGATCATTTACTCTAGTGGATCCAAAGGGATGTTGGAGATGGGCGATCTTTGTTTCTGTTGCTTTTTCAAAACGGAGCAGGCCACTTTGGTGGCTAAGTGGCCTGTTTTGTAGAAGTAGGACCAAATAAGGACTGGGAAGACTCAGCCGTGGAGAGCAGCATTTCTGCTCGTCAAAAACTCCCAATGCTTTGACGCCGAGGTTCCTGGTACTAATGCAACACATTTCAATTTACGGGCAAACCTTGTCCCCCGACCCTTTTCTCTTCCAGCCGGTTTTCAGCAAACCCACCTGGAGCTGGTGCAGAAGTTTCATGTCAGCTTACGGAAGCTGAATTTACACGACACCGAATATATTCTTTTGCAGGCTTTGCTGCTGTTCTCTCCCGGTAAGTAAATACTTGGGAACCTCCGAAGCCACCTTCCTGCCTTAAACCCAGGGGATCCCAAATCCCTGCCCGATTGCAGTGACACCAGTATTTGGGGGTTAAGACCTCCCTCTATATCCACCTACTGGTTCCGTGAGCCGAAATAATAGGGAAAACCATCCTTGTTTTTCAATTTAAAGTCTGGCATTTCACGAAGAATGTGCAAAGCATGGGCTCCCCAAAAGGGAAACTTAAAAAAACAATTCTGTGTATTTCTAAACATATGCTGAGTATTGTTTAGGGCCGGCTCTACCATTTGGCAGTACGAGGCAACCGGCTCGGCAAAGGTAGCTTTCCCCCACCCATGCCCCTGAAAATCAGTCATCCAATGGAGCACGGGGAAAAGACTTGCCTCTCTGCTTCCGTGTCTCGTCTGCTTTGTCTCTCATCGGCCAACCTTGCCACTTTGCAGACCACGTGACGGTCACACAGCGAGAGGCCATCGACCAGATCCAGGAGAGAATTGCACTCACCCTTAAAAGCTACATCGACCACTGTCACCCTCCACCCGAAGGCAGGTGAGTGGGTTGTGTGCGTGTGTGTGCTTTGGGAGATGCTGCACATAGCACCAACCACACAATCCAAATGACGAGACAGACTGAGTGTCACGTTTTGGACTACGACTCCCACCAGCCACCAGGGCTGATGATCATGGGTCACTGGGATTGTGGTTCCACGCAAAAACCAAGGTTGACAGGCCGTGCAAGAGTAAGGTGTTTGGGGGATTATTTTTAGACCTAAGTGGTCCATTTGTGGCCCTCGTCCATGGTGCTGGACTTCAACAATGACCATTTCTGACCATTGCCGATGCAGCCAAGGCACGATGGGTTTTGTAATCCAAACATCTGGCATTGCACAGGTTGCCTGCTCTCATTTTAGTCTTTTGACTTACAGGACAACAGAGTGGGTAACAGCCAGTAACTCTTTTAAGTTGGTAACACATGCAGAACTACTTAGGTCAATAACTGGGAAGACAGGGTAGCTGTAGCACATACACCATTTAAAAAATGTTTAAAAGACGGTTTGGTCACTAGATGATACAAGGGGCCCATTTCTATTTATTTATTTTTTAATGAAGAGAAAATGGTTATGGGGCCATGGCAGCCGTCCTCCAAGTTCTTAGGATGGGCACGTTTAAGGACAGGATGGGCAACAGCTCCAAGAACAGGATTTAAAGAGCCATAACAAAAAACATGTGCCATCCAGTCCATTTGGCCTTAGGTTCATCCTTTTTTCAGGGTTTTCCAGGTAGAGAATAATCAGAAGTGGTTTCCCCTTACCTTCTTCTGGAGGTGCCCTGTGCAGCTGGCTCAAGGCCACCCAGGCTGGCTCTTTCCAGATGCCCAGAATCAAACTCTCAGCCACTGGCTCCACAACCAGACCCTTAAATCACTGAGCTACCCAGCCATGGAAAAGAGATACAGTGGTGCCTTGCTAGACAATGATAATCCGTTCCACTGAAATCGCTGTTTAGCGAAATCATCGTCAAGCAAAAAGCAAATCGTCATCTAGCGAAAGTCGGTTTGCGAAGCAGGGACCAAACATTGTCCAGCGAAATTCCCCCATAGGAATCACTGTTTTGCGAATCACTATAGCAATCACAAAAAGTCAATGTCTAGCGAAAAAACTGTCATGCGGGGTAACTGTCTAGCGAGGCACCACTATACCCGTTTAAATATCCACCCAAGCGACACAGGTTCTCTCTCGGGGTTCATCCCCCTTCTCTAGGTTCCTCTATGCCAAACTTCTCCTGCTGCTGACGGAGCTTCGGACCCTGAAAGTGGAGGGCACGCGCCAAATGCTCCACATCCAGGATGCCAACGGCCTGGGGTCCAAGATGCCTTTGCTTTCCGAAATTATCAGCTGAAGGCTGGAAGCTGGAGGGAGTTACATGGCAGGGTCCGGTTGTTTCCCATACCTTTTGGGAGAAGCCATCTCCTGAGACCCGGCCAGTTGCTGGGGATAATGGGAGTGGAAAGAACAATAGACCTGGAAGACGCCCTCCGGCTTAGGTCGAGATAGGTCACTGGTGGCCCTCCAGACACAGTCACAGAGGCGTCAGGATCAGCTCCTCCTCGTAAAGCTGAGGATGCCTTAGCTGGGTGTCATAAATCACGCCACCCCCATTTTTTTCTGACAATATGGGCAGCCCTAGAGGACTTCGGGGCAGCCCCTCGCCCCCTCCAAAGTGGCCCATCTTCGCTCTCCATAATGGATGATGTTGGAAATTTGACCCGCTTTGTCCTTTCAGCTACTAAAGCAGGCCTTTTCTTTCCTGCTGTCCCCTCATAGCACTTTAATGGCAAATAAAAAGGAGTACATGCTACATTACCGTCTCTTCGATTGAGATCTCTTTCCTTCAGAGCCTTTCCTCTCCTCTGTCAACATCGTGAGCCTCATATCTTGACAGACTAGGTCAGAAGTCTCCAAAGGAAGGCCCCTAGGCACAGCCCATTCAGTACAATAGGACAATGGGGTATCAATTCCAAGACACCCCCCCACGGATGCTGAAAAATGTGGATGTACTGGAACACTACACGTTCCATGGTCTCTGGCTCTCTTTAGTGGCCAGTTCTGGTAAATACACCCTGGAAATACATTTAAATATGTATCCCTGGTGTGTTTGTGGCTGTTTAATATTTTCAGCCAGTGGATAAATGAATCAGTGGATACTGATCCTGTGGATAGGGGGGTCCTGCTGTACGAGGCAGCTAAATAAGCTTGACAAAAAGGAGTTCCTTCCTCCCTACAACCAAAGAATTGCACGTGGGACTTTCTTTCCTGTTCTCGAAGGGGTGGCAAAGCCCCTCAGCCTGATTTTATTTGGATTCCACCAACACCGTTCAAACCTTGTTACACACGACCCGTTAAGGCGAGTGGCACCGCGCCCACAAGCAAAATATGGCAGGCCAGCAGAAAAAAAATACAGGATTTTGCTGTCTCTCTGAAATTCAGCACTCCGGCAGAGAGCCCAGGCAGATATGGCGCCAAGGTGCACTTTTATGAGCAAAGGCTGTGTTCAAGTCCCGGTAAGGCTTCTCTCTCTTCGCCATGCAAGGGGCTCCGTTACCTGCTCTGCCAGCATGCTCTCGTTGCTGCCACCGAGGGCAGAAATCAGAAAGTGGGCGATTCCCGTGTTTCGGAAGGGGGCGTCCTCCAGCCGACTTCTTTTCGAAGAAAAAAAAAACCAAGCAGGCCTCCTCAAAATCCTGACGGCAAAGAGGGCCTCATCACCGGCAACCCCCCATCACCAACGTCTTGGGCGAACCCCGGCACTCGTATCCGCGTGCAAACGTAACCCCCACCCCCCGAGTGCCACCAAACCTCTTTTCTTGCGAGGCCGTTTTGCCAAGGAGAAACTCACAGGGCCCTCGCGTGGCCCCGAGGGTGTCCCCTCCCTCCTCAGCCCACGATGATGCTGAACCCGCAGTGGAACCGATTCTTCCAGTGGTTAAGGAAGGCGCCCAAGGCCAGGGTGACGGGCAGAGGCGGAAGCTTCTTCTCCAAGACGGCCCCCACGCACCAGTTGCTGTCCAAAAATCCTTGATGGGAGCAGGGAGGAAAGAAAGGCGATTATGATGGTGGCAGAGGTAGAAACCGTTCCCGATACTCCAGCTCCTGCTGGCACACTTTCCAGACCACCTACTTTTCCATTTTGGGAAGGCTTGAGAACAGCAGCGGCCAACTTTGGGAAATCCAAGTGATCTCGGGCTGCAATTCCCAGAAACCTTGCCCAGCCCAGCGAGTGGTGAAGGCTTCTGGGAATTGCAGTTCCAGAATATCTGAGTTAACCAAGGTTGGGAACGACTGCCTTCAACCAAGAGTAGCTGAGGAGCAGTAAAGGAATGAAAGGTTTGTTGCTGGGAGCTAATTGGGTCTAAGGAAGGCCTCAGAGCAAGAGAGAAGCAATTTGTGGTCCTCCAGACTCCAGCTCCCATCATCCTTCTCCACTGGCTCTACAGGCGAGGACTGATGGGAGCTGGTGGTCCAGTATCATCTGGAAAGACGCTCTTCATGAGCGGATCTCATTCACCGAGATCCACTCCATCGCTTGGCTGCTCACCTCTAAAAACCATGTTGGCCTCTGGGAGTGTCAGCTGATACCCAAAGGCGAAACTGGTGTCTTGCAACCGTGTATTTGCCTCGAATTCTACCCCGACCTGGATCTGTGAACGGGGGAAAAAAATTAGAAGTCCCAAAGCTTCATAAGCCACCACCAAGCCCAAGAGACTAAGGAAATAAGGAGAATGGAAGGGAGAAAAGAAGATTTCTTTGGAAACTCACCTGATCATTTGCTCGGTGATAATAGCTGGCATGAGCACCGCCACAGCCAAGATTCAGGGTGGCGACCCATTTGAGAGCTGAAGCAGAGACCATAGAGGAGAGAAAATATGAAAGAAAAGAGCACAGTAAAATATTCACCTTTAGAATTCTTTTTTAAATCTGTTCTTAAAGGACATGCGTTTCTTTTTAAAATGATTTTT